AATAATGTTCAAAAAACAACAACAAAAAATAAATTAATAAATAAAAAATAAAATAGTTTGGGGAAAAACACACCTAAAGCTAATCAGCAGAGGCTGTTTACATTTCGATGAGGGTGAAAAGAGAGCTCAATAAACAAGGGTTGATTGGTTTGTCCAAGTGGTTTCACAATTACAATTACAATATATATTTATATATATTTCAGAACGTAAACTACAACCGAACAAAGCATGAGCTGAAAATAGTACATTGGTCAAATTTCACTGTTAATTTTTTTTTTTAAACGAAAAAGAAAAGCAAAATGTCAAAGGCAGCATTGGCTGTCAGAAACGCATTGATTATAACAAACACAGTAGCAACATTTTTTCTGGTTTTAAATTAAACGGATAAAATATGTATATAACTAACAAGTTAAATAAAAAAATAGAAAAAGAGTTATTTCAACAATAACACATCAAATGTGAAGTGCCACGTAGGGAATTCTGGTAATGTCAATTTATGGTTATTTACCGGATTCTGGTAAAGTATGGGTATTCATACTGATAACCATTTTTTTCACTGTAGTAACTTTACTGTTAAAATTATTTTTGTTTAAATTGAGTTGTTCAAGACTTGACTTGCCTTTACTTTCGGTTGAATCGCTTGTAAAAACTGAACCATTGGAATCCCATATGCCAATGTTTTCCCTGTACAACACATAAATAAACAAACCTTACATACAGCACATTCTTTCTCTAACAAACACTTTAATGACTTCTACTTTTATAGTTTTCAAACCACACATTCAATATAAAATTCAATTTAATGTTTAATATGACACTCAACATTTTGTTACTCTAGTAATTCGGTTATACATCTTATATTTTTATATTTTAATTTAATAAAATTTATTTACATCAAAAACCCCACCTGATCCAGTCTGGGAGCGCACTACAGCATCTTTACCAGACATCAGCACTGGTATGGTCTGTTTCTGGACACTAAAAGAGAGGCAATGTCAATTACAAAACAAAACAAAGCTAGGGGACAAAACAAAGTGTAAGATGAACTTGCAGTACCTCGTCATACTGCTAACGTTCAACACCTTATGGAGCGTGGCCACCTGTCAAATAGTTGAGAGCAGAAATGCATATGAATAAATACAGGAGGAGCATTTGACTTGAGAAACGTTTCGGTTTGTTCTTCCTCTCACCAGATGTGGATGCAGATTTAGCTCTTCAAACGTGTTGCTGGTGAAGACTTTCTCCTTCACTTGATTTACAGCAGGACTAAAAGAAGAAGAAAAAAAGACAGGTAAATTGCATTGAAAGGTCAAATCCGAGAGAAGAGACTATTCGTACAACCTCAAATGTGTTGCATCTACCTGAGGACATCAGGGATCTCTGGGTTGTTTCTGAAGAGAGACGATGTCTTGATAAATGGTCTGCCATGGTCTTCATGCTCTGTGGGAGCTTTCTTTGGAAATGTTTTCACCTTTGATGGGGACTTTGCTTCTGAGTTTTCTCTCTGGACCGGGCTCTCCTCTGTGTCTCTGTTATTGCTCCTCTGAGAGGGGCTTCTAGGGGTTTGCAGCGTTTGCTTTTGTGCGTGCTGTTGACCAGTTTGATTAATCTTCCTCTGTTTAGAGACGCTGCTCTCTTGGGGCTCAACGGCAGCCTTCCTTTTTGCCACTCTCTTTTTCTGTAACGTCAACACACAGGGTTCAGCCCTTCACATTCAATCTGAAGCAAATCTGCGTGATGTAAGTAACGTTACATTAGTGTGAAACTGACAGGATGTGCAGGACTGACTTACCTGTGCCCATTTCTCTGATGATGACAAATGCTTCTGGTTTGTTTTTCTGTTAAACTGTACAGAACCTGAGGAGATGTTGAGCATCAGCGTGTCCTCAGCCATGACCGCAAACAGGTTGTAAACCCCTTTTAAAACAAGAGGTGTACTAGTAAAATATCTATACCACGCTCTGACAGAACACTCGCGCTAGCTAAAGGAAATATTATCCTTTATTCGAGTGACGGAAATGTCAGCAGCACGTTAAATGCGCATGGCGTTAACGTTTACACCGTGAATATTCAATGTAAACAACTGCACATCTAGAGAGAAAAGTTTCACACGTGTTTTTACTCCGTCCACTACAAGGTGAAGGCATTTCCGGGTGATGGCGTTACCAAAATAAAAGCCCCCACGCGTGAAGCAGAGTAACTGTGAATGTTTTACTCATTTTGTTAATGTTATTTGTAAGTAAAGTCGTTAAATTAAAGTGCGCTGATTAATGGAACTCTGGAAATTTTAATTAATGGACATTTTAATTATGCATATTTAATAATGTATAGTGCTATATTACTGATCTGCAATAATAAAATAAATAAATGTTGTATGATTTTTTTCAGTTTTTATCAAACATAGTAATGCAATTTATTTTATTTTTATTTAATTCCATGTCAGCAACCAAGGCTATTTTCATGGGAATGACATTTTAATAATTGATATACAATTAAAAATCAACAAACAAATAAATGCATAAATTAAACAAGATTTTTAGCGCTATTACATGATAACAATTGTAAACTGTTTAACTTTCCAGGTGTCATTTTGCTAAACATTTCCTTAAGAGAGTTTATTTTATAAAAAGTCTTCTGAAATCATTAAAAGCAGGACAGTCTATTTTAAAATGTATCTAATATAGTATCATTGATTTTCTTTTCAGCTTAGTCCCTTTATTAATCTGGGGTCGCCACAGCAGAATGAACCGCCAACTTATCCAGCATATGTTTTAGATGCCCTTCCAGACACAACCCATTACTGGGAAACACCCATACACAATTTTTCACACACACTCATACACTACAGTCAATTTTTAGCATACCCAATTCACCTATAACATGTCTTTGGACTTGTGGGGGAAACAGAAGCACCCGAAGGAAAGCCACGCAAACACGAGAACATGCAAACTCCACACAGAAATGCCACTTGAGCCAGCCGAGGCTCGAAACAGCGACCTTCTTGCTGTGAGGCGAATGTGCTACCACCTTCTCCACCGCGTCACCCTAATATAGTATATAGTTAACTAATATTAACAAATTAAACCCTATTACCAAGTGTTACAAATGTCTCTTCACTTTTTAAAAACTATTTAAATAAAACAAAAAAAAAAATGTTGTTGAGATGAGTTATTTTACCAACATTCTGATTTTTATTTATTTGTTTATTTTGTTTTTATATTAAGATTTTAGATTAAATAAATCCTGTGGACAGATTTTTGCAGGGGCTTCCAGGTTGAAAAGCACAACACTGTTTATATAGTATTATAAAATACACTTAAACCATAAATATGCTAAAATTCAATCATTAATTTATTTTCCTTTGGCTTAGTCCCTTATTAATCAGCAGTCGCCACTGTGGAATAAACCGCCAACTATTCCAGCATATGTTTTACACAGCGGCTGCCCTTCTAGCTGCAATCCAGTACTGGGACACACACACACACACACACACACACACACACACACACACACACACACACACACACACACACACACACACACACACACACACACACACGCGCCAAATTAGTTCATCCTATTCATCTATAGTGCATGTCTTTGGACTGTGGGGGAAACCGGAGCACCCAAAGGACACCCTTTCAAGACCTTTTTTTAAGACTCTTTTCATACATTTTCATACCTTATAATCACTTTTCAACCAGAAACACTGGTGAGATTTTAAATTACACTATATTCACTAAATATTAATGTAAGAAACTAATCCAAAACTAAAACATTATGCATATACTGAATATAAATCTATTAAATCTAGCTAATTCAGCAGGTCAGCGCCTATAGAACTGCAGAAATAATGGTTACTTGGTTACTGCAGTAAACAAAGCAGCATGATGTCATTGATTTCAAAAACTACACAGAATCCTGATATTCGCAGACTTAATTCAGGCAAACTTTAGCATACACCATACATTGCAAAATCAAACATTATATAAAATTTAATACCTTGCAAAATAGCATTTAGGACTTTTTAGTACTTTTTAAGGGTCTTAAATTTCTCTACATTGATTTATCAACTTTTAATACTTTTTAAGACCACGCGGACACCCTGTTTTTGCTGTGAGGTGACAGTGCGAACCACTGAGCAACCATCCCGTAAATGATGAAATAATGATTTCTATTAAAATTATTATATTATAATTTTTTATTTTCCTATTTTGTTCATGGTTACTTCTGCAATTACTCAAGCATACTCCCAAATAATACAATGCTTCCTGTTGAAAGTCCCATTTTGATTGCAATGAACCACATGTCTTTTTAAAAGGCAGAATGTGGTTCATGTATACAGTTCTTGTATAAACAAGTAGAGATGTCTATTAAGCACTACTTCTATACATGTGCAAAAAGCTACAATACAAATCTTTTTTTTTTGTCTGTGCCATTTTAAGTAAAAACATTTGCTGAAAATGTGTCTTTGTTCACAGTATAAGTATAAACAGTGCTACAGAAGCAAAGGGAGCTCAAGAAATTCTTCCTTATTCAGACCTATTTAATTTTGCAGCCTCGTCTCTCTCTCTTTGGATAAACGCTGACCCTGGTGTTTACATATTCAGAGGAGATGCATATTCTGGACCTCATCTGCTGTAATTAAGTCAGTGTCTGCCTGTCATAGCACACTATCTGAGGGGAATTTGAAAATCGGCCTGTTAACATGTTCCTCTAACCAGTGTACTTAACTCCATTGCCCCCTGTGGGAATCATCCAGTGACCCCAAAGAAGGGAAGGGTGAAGGAAAGCGAATTTAATAATCAAAGCACCGTTGACTGGTTTCCTCAGCACGAGAGCACTGAAGCGAAACTAATACTACCCACCATCACAAAGGTTCTGGCCAGTCTGCCTTTCGCTGCTATGTTAATTAAACATACGTCGAATTAGCAGGTGCCATGCACTCCCATGAGCGCACACATGGTCAAACGGCATGAATGACGACATTGCTTTGGTCATTTGGAGACATGTAGTGTTTATTAAATTAGAGCTAAGACCAAGACAAATTCATAAGCAGTTTTTAGTAGCCTATCAAACTTTTGCATTATGTATTGATAAAGAATTGGTATTAAAATTGATCTGTGTGAATGATTAAAGAGATAATCCACCCAAAAATTATTTTAATCACCTTTCATGCAGTCCCATATGTAAATAAGCTTCTTTCCTTTTGGATTTTTAGAATTTTTGGACAGATACTTTAAACCACACTAAACCAACATGGCATTAATACATCTATAACCTAAGTAGATTAATCAGTGCCTTTGGAAATGATAACTGTGTGTAATAAAAACACCAAGACCTTCATTTTTTTCCTCTATATACCATCATTTTCAGGCAACTGTCATGTGACTTCCATTGTGATCCCACAGCAATTCATGACTGCTTTTATTTAGAGGATAATTTAGAGAACAACTCTTTCATACATTTTATTATAATGGGTTATGACCCCAGTGATGGCTATGTTCAGAGGCCGGGCTAGACAAATGTATTTTATTTAGGAAAATCCTCCATTTTAGTACAAACAACAGTGGACGAATGTGCCACTTTTGCACTAATAAGTTGATGATACTGTGATTTCACATTTGACCTAGTCATTAGTATGTTATGAAGACTCATGTAAGTGAAACTCACAAAAGAAATGCCATACAGCACCTCTATACTGTCACATCCCTTCTTTCACATTGTGCTAATCTCTATGTCAAATGTCAAATTTGCAAAAGTTGGAAGAAATAGTTTATAGTGTAAAACTAAAAATAATAATATTAGTTTTCCTTTTTCAAGTCAACATCTAAAGATTTTAGATTACCATTGTTACCTTTTGCATGTTTATTTTAAGTTCATCCACAGTTTGGATTTTCAAATTGCTTTATTTTTAAATCTATATTTGTGTTCCATAAGTCAAACAATTTGTGATTACACAAGTCTTCAGTTTTTGGGTGGTGTATCTCTTTTTTGAAGTGTTTCAAGAGCATTAGTTCTCATTTGTTTGCTGGTTAGACAGCACTTTAGGTAGTTGGCCCACTAGCCGACTCTCCAGTGACTCAAACACAGTGTGTGGGTCCTGGTCAGCGTTGATGTACACTGCCTGTGGGTAGAAGGCCTGCAGGCGCACTGTTTGGCTCCAGTATTCCTTAAGCCTCATTAACAGCTGTGCCTCTGAATGCTGTGGGTTAAACCGAAGCCGTGCTTGAACTTCCGGACCAGGAGGAGGTTTATACACGCTGTGGTACCTGCGGAGTTCAAATGCAACATTCAGAATGCGGTTATGCCTTTAGTGGAGGCAAATGGAATGGATTATTAATATACAAATTTACAAGCAGCTAAGTTAATCAGATTCTTTCTCACCATTCTCCTGTCACAGGATCCACAGCCCTAAGTGCTAGCCTTTCGATAGCGATGTCATCAGTTATCTCCAAGAAGAAAACCCTAAAGGGGAAAGAGGAGGAGGTCTGTTATGATACTTGTAGATTCTCTTAAACTGCTTACTTGATAAAGATATTATTATATAGCAACAATGCAAAAGGATACTGAGTGTTTTGTTTAAATTCAATGATAAACAAAACCCACAATTAAACATCCGAAACTATTTAAAACACTGTACTCTACATATCATTTACTGATTTTCCTTCAGCTTAGTCTCTATATTCATCATGGGTCGCCACAGCAAAATGAACCACCAACTTATCCAGCATATGTTTTACAAAGCAGACACCCTTCCAGCTACAACCCAGCACTAGGAAACACCCATATACTCTCACATTTACACATATACACTGTTACTACCTGACAAAAGTCTTGTTGTCAATCCAAGTTTTAGGAACAACAAATAATAACTTGACTTTTGAGTAATGATTTGGTATCAGAAGTGATTTATATGAGAGGCAAAGGCCTCTAAATAACGCTTATTTTACCAAAATAAAATATGATCATGCCCTAATATTTAATTATTTACTTAAGTCTGACTTTGCTTAGACAAAAGTTTTGTCACTTAACAGAAATTATGTCCACTATAGAATATAAAGTCATGGTGCAGTGGAAAAAGAATAATATTGTGTATGACTCCCATGAGCTTGGAGGACTCTATCCATAAATCTCTGCAATGACTCTAATAACTTATTAATAAAGTCATCTGGAATGGCAAAGAAAGCGTTCTTGCAGGACTCCTCATCATAAAAATTCGTTGGATTCATCTTCAATGCCTTCTCCTTCATCTTAGCCTAGACATGCTCAATAATGTTTATATTTTGTGACTGGGCTGGCCAATCCTGGAGCACCTTGACCTTCTTTGCTTTCAGGAACTTTGATGTGGAGGCTGAAGTATGAGATGGAGTGCTTTCCTGCAAAAGAATTTGCCCTCTCCTATGGTTTGTAATGAAATTAGTAGTAAAATAGCGTTCATAACTCTGTTGTTGATGCCATCCACTCTGAAAATTTCTCCCACGTTCCCATACTGAATGTAACACTAAACCATGATTTTTCCTTCACAGAACTTGACTGATTTTTGTGAGAACTTTGGGTCCATGCGAGTTCTAATGGGTCTTCTGCAGTAATTGTGATGACTGGGATGCAGTTCAACAAATGATTCATCTGAAAAAATCAATCCTCTGCCATTTTTTTCAAATGATCAACCAGAGGTCAAGTTATTATTCGTTGCTTTTACAACTGGGATCAATGACAAGACTTCTGTCAGGTAGTGTACACCACGGCCAATTTAGCTTATTCAATTTACCAACAGCACATATCTTTGGACTGTTGAGGAAACATGTGGAACATGCAACTCTAACAAATAAAATTTTATAAAAACGAAGAGACTGGGCTACTTTCGAGGCAGGAAGTTTCTAGTATATATTTTTATAAAAATGTACTTTACAGTTCTTTTGGAAGTCATTTTGTTGTTAAAATTCACAGTCAATCTATTAACAAATAAGCACTGTCTGTTAATCAAGACCATTTGTTGGTCCAGGATAATGAAAACAGTACTGGTAATTTTCTGCTATTATACATATTTTGACAGTTTCAGTAAAGGACATCACAAAAGTGTCAATAAAGACTTCTATATTGTTACAACTACTTCCATTTAAAATAAATTCTGCTCTTTTGAATTATGTATCCATTAGAAAATTCTGAAAGATCATGTGACACTGGAGACTGATGTTAATGATGCTGAAAACTCACAAGAAAAAATTACATTGTAAAATACACTACAATACAAAACATTTCCAAATGTAAAACAAGTTCCTAAATTACTATTAAATGCAACTCAAGTATCCTCAATTATTGACAATTACCTACAATTGTCAGAATGCTTGCAGAAATCATAACATGTCATGCGAAAATCCATTATTCCATTATATGTAGACCGCATCTAGCATTCAGAGAGAAATAATCATAATGCGTTACTATTAGAGCTAAATAAATGATGAAGAAAATAATGGAAAACAGGGATACTCTCCAGGGCCACAGGAGGACTTCAACAGAGGAATGTCGGGTCTCTACCCGGGGGTCACTGTGTTTTGACATTGTCCAGACATAAAGTGGGCCTAATGGTGTGGTCAGGTGGGGAGTTTACATGCCAGTCTTGTCCCAAATGATTTAATCGGTGGCCCCTGAGGACAAAAACCTCAAAACCTTTTCCACATTATTTCATTTTTAGCCACATAAACACTTTACACGCAGACTGAGATTGTGGTATGATGGACCGATTCAGCAATAGCAACATCACAAGGCCTCCTTTTCCACAAAAAAAGTGTGAGAAAGTGGAGAAAATGGGAGAAAGAGATCTAAGTTGGTGCTTTTGATAAAATATTTAAATGTCTTTGTGTTCCTGGCTCTCAGTACCACTGTGCCCTCTGAAACGGACAAAGAAGACATGGTGCTTTAACCGACTATTAGGCTGGCCTAAAACTGCAAGATATTTGATGTGTTTAAGAGGCATAATAATGCGTGTGTGCGTGTGTGCGTGTGCGCGGGTTTAATTATTCCAGAAAAAGGCTTCCCTCAATTTTTAATGAATATTTGTCTTAAAAAAGAAATAATAACTACTCTGCAAAGCTATTAGAATTAATATTTATGCTTCCTCATGAAATATTTATAAATGTGGAGGAGAGTTGTGTCTGAGGCAGGAGGATGGGAGGGTGGGGGCTTGCGTTTGCCTTTCTTCTCATCCCCCCTATACTTTTTTTTTTCTTTATGCGAGCCGTACAAGATGAATTGATTTACATTAGATGTTTCTTACATGACAGCTTGAGATCCTCTAACAAATGACTGACTAAAACAAGGCGGATAACAAAAGCCTGACGGTTCTCCGCTGCTACAAATGATCTACCAGTCTTGCCGGCAGTACAGTGCGAGTATGTGTGCGCGTGTTTCTATTCTTTCTCTGGTATACATGAAGTCGGTGGTAACCTCTGACCCTTTTGTTCTTCGGCTTACACGCCGAGCTGAAGTGATCCAAGAAGGTCTCGGTCCATCCGATCTCTCCCGCTCCCGTCAGCCTCCCTTTCTATCTCTCCAAATTAAGAAATTAATGAGGGAAAGATTCTTTACAGGTGGCCACGGCAATGTTTACCACTGATTAAATTGTAATGCTGCCCCTGCTGTATAATTGATAAGCCAATCAGAGGAAGTGTTGCTTGATTTGATGGGGAGCGGACACATGAAATACATTTAACTAATAGAGAGCAAGAGCGCGGTGCAGGTGGAAAGAGAGAGGGAGAGGGCAAGGCGAGGACGAGAGCAGGTAATTGGGCCAGACTCTTAGATTACATGGCTAATTGCTCTCCTTTATCTACCTGTCACAGGTAGCCATGCATATTTCAGAGCTCCCAAAGACTCTGATTGTTTGCAAGCGTGTCAAGGCTGTAAGAGGCTGATGACTAGCCAAACTGGAGAGTAGTTAAAGACTGGTAGGAGGGGTGGGAGTGAGACCAGCGAGAACAATGATCTGCTCTGAAAATGAGCATGTAAATGGGGCTCTGACATGGGTCTTTTGAAAAGCACAGGTATTTTGTGCCAGCTTTCAGTTCATAATATTTTTCGACATTGATACTGTAGTTCATCAAAAGTTTAATTCTTGCATTCTTGTATGACTTTCTTCAATCTCTGGAACATATTTGTTTTGCATGATGCACCATTGGCATATCATAAAAGTCATTTATATTATTTATTTTCTATATTTTAGGTCTTTTATGGTTAAACTTGAAAGTTAAGTTGAAGTTAAGTTAACCGTGTGTGAAAAACAGACAAACCAGATAACATTTCATTTATAAACTGGTCTCAAAAACCTATTTAGTGTGACTTAATTAACTGAGTTACTGAAAGGACCTGATTCACACACCCTAAATACACCTGGTAATAACAAGCATTTTTGTTGATCTGGGGTCCGTTCTTCATAACTTGTTTAAATGATCTAAGATGATTTGACAGATCCTGGATCTGTTAATCTTGATAACTGATCCCTGGCTAATTTGGTTCTTCAAACAAGTTTGCGAATCAGATAAAAAAGTCTGGATGACCTGATCTGAAATCTCTGCATGTGTTGTGAAGAACAGATCTATTGATCCTCGAAATCATGATCAGCAATGCAACGATTGGCAGACAGGACAGCAGCGTAATGACATCATCTGATTAATATTCAATTATCTATGTGAGCAAAATGACTTAAAACTCATAATAAACTGTTTGTTAAATATGATACGCAATAACTTTCCACGTTTTCCTCTACACGTCATATGTGTCAAGAGTATTTAGCTATTTATTTAGTTTTACATTTTAGATCGAATTTTCTTTATGAACTCGGATGAGTTTGAAAGAATGAAACGATCCTGGATTGTGTCAAATCATCAATAACCAAATCCAGATAACTGAGTAATCCACGCACAAAGAACGGACCCCTGATCACAATTGGATGATGCTTAAATAGGAATGAACAGGTCTGAATGTTTAAATCAATATAATCTAACAATAATGACATCAAGATAATCATTCTGTGATTATGATAGGTGTTTGTGTCGCTTCTCAGTGAACTACACCCCTGTTTAGTAAATGCTAATAGATCTGAAAGCACATGAAAATACCATATACTAGGGTTGGGCAATGTCCACCAATTGTCGACATTGGCGATGTCTAATGTAAAACCTCGCGATGGACGATGGCATCGTTGTCGTAGGAGTCTGTGAATTAATTATTTATGAATAATTAATTAATTCATAACGACTTAATTATTTGTAGCTTACCGTTTCAACAACCTGACCCGCATGGCCTTTGTTTTACCTATAACCAAATCATAAATAAATATAGATAAATTACACACGAATTGCCACCTGTGAATCACTTTTTCCGGAAGGGGCGGAGCTATCGGGTGCACATGTTGAATAACTTTATTTATTTTGGATGGTGAAAGCAAAATTCTCCTACGAGAGTGATTA